ATATTGAGGGCTAAAGTAGAGGACAAATGTTTTGAGATCGATGAGGGCAGCGGGTGTACATAGGTGCTTGACTCAATGGATGTATGTATGGACTGTGATAGAATTGTACGAGCCCTCAATGAAATAATAATAAAAAAAATCTCCAAATGTAGTGTGTTTTCCCCCTGAACATAACCTCTGAGTAGGTCTATAGTCTTCTGAAGGCACTGCTTAAATCTCTCTAACCTAAGGTGACCAGATTTAAAGTGGGACACCATTGACGGGGGTGGGGTGGAGGGTGTGTTTGATTAAAAATTTGGTCTATATGGACCAAATAGACCGTTCCCTAGCTTGTCGTGCATTCTTTCCAAAAATCGGGACTTCTTTAAAATGCCAACAATCGGGACTGTCCCACCAAAAGCGGGACGTCTGGTCACCTTACTCTAACCCTCTGAGCCCCCGGCTTCACACAGCAGTGCAGACCACCTTGCGGAAGCCACTGTGTGCTTCGCGTTGTGGGAGTGAGGAGGGCCAGAGGGTGGGCGGATGGGGTGAGGTTTCCAGTGAAATGTTCGCAGGGAAGCCCCTGAGGCGTGAGCACGTGCTTTGTCGTGATGGGAAAATGTGTCTTAGGTGCCATGTACCTGGGCTTCCCCCACAAATGAAGTTTTCAATTTCCTTAAACATTCATTCGCCCCCATGATCACCCTGCGGCGTCCTTCTAGAAAACCTACCAAGAGAACTCCTTTGGAATCCCCAAACGGTCGCCATCGCTTCTGAGTTGCCCTCTCTGTCTCAGATGGCCCCGGCCCAGAATCCCCTTGGAAGGGCACGGTTTCCACAGACCTGGCTTTTGAAGACACCCTCATGAGACTAAGACGCATGCATTCTTGAGAGAGCTTATCTGCAGTCAGCCACCGAGGGCTGAGGCATGTTTAAACAAAACCCGTTTAAATAAACCAGCGCATGTAGGGACTGGCACAATAGTAGCAATAGTTTTTGACTCATGCAAGGTGGGGGGGTAATGGGAGTGTGTGTACGGACAAGTTATCTTCGAGTACTGGAACACCCTCCCCCAAGTTGTAAGTCATTGTGGGAGCTTCGATTCTATTTTTACCCTGGAGACATTGTCCCCTTTGTTTTACGCCCTCAATGTCCTTCATTGTTCTGTCTCCCCCATTGCATCAGGGCTGTGTGATCGTCTTGATCCTGTCTGAAGTCCCCCCTCTGGAATTTCCTTTGGGGCGGGTCTGTTGTGGCCGCAGCCTTGATTTGTGTGTGTGTGTTTGTGTGTAGGCATGTCATTAGTTCACCCTCCTTCTGGAAAGGTATTTTCTTTTGTCATCTGTAATAAAGATTTCTTCCCCTCCCCACCCCCAACCCTTTTATTAGGACTTAATCCAGACATCATACCACTCCACAGTCCCATCATATCAAGAAGTAGCATAGCTGCTACCATGATCGGCTTAAAAATATTTCCTTCCTTCTTGTGCTCTTTGATATTAGCTCCCCACTGGCCCCCCACCCACCTCCCCTGCCATACCCGCCCCCAGGAGCCCTTCTAGATATTGTCTCTATGGGCTCATCCATCCTGAGTTTCACAGACAGAAAACTCATACCACAGTCAAGGAAGGCTACCAACAATAACACAATACAACGGAGAGCTATCCCGTTTTGAGAAAAAAATACATAAAAAATAGATCAAGCTCAAAGAAAGGTACTTTCAATGGTACATATTTCCTGAAGCATATTTTTATTAGATGTATCATTCGAGGACGGTGGTTCTTGCCTCATGGGCCATTGGCTGCGGCTTCACTGCTTCTAGCTTTCGATGCTCCCGCGGAAGGGTCAGAAGTAAAACCCGTGCGTTCCTTTTGTGCGCGGGTGTCCGGTGGAAGTATGCAGATTTCACTTCCAGCAGCTCTAGGAAGCTACAGCCGTCTTGTCGGCTGGTGTGGTGGCGCCGTGGTGGCCTGTGTGTTGCTAGGGCCACTGGAATTCTGGCTATCAGCAGGCCACCCACGAGAGTTTCGCCAGAGCCTCCTGACCAAGACATACTACGAAGAAAGGTCCGGCGACCAACTTCCTGATATTAGCCCATGGAAGCCCTGTGGATCACAACCGAATCGTATCCCTTAGGGTGCAGCAAGATGAGCCCCAGGCTGGAAAGCATTCACAATATACGATGGCCGCGACAGTGGTGCGAGCAACATTCAGTCTGTGTCCGGGGGTTGCCTGTGAGTTAGAGGGTGCTGTTGGCAGCTAATCACTAACAACTAGGGACTATGGGGGGCTTGGAGGCATGCGAGTGACCCAGGCTGACCCTGCAGTGTGGACAGTGCTCTGGAGGGATGGCATTTCAGTAAGAAGGCTGCCGTGAAGTCCAAGAGCAAGGAGGAGGGGTGGGCTGGCCATCTGTAGGGTGCAGAGGAGAGAGGTGGGGAGGTCAGAGAGGCAGGGCTGGGGTCAGTGCAGGGTGTTGGCTGGAGCTGATGGCTAAGATGAAGGGAGGTACCCCAAACGGGTGGTTTGGGCAGGTGAGTCTGTCTTAGACCTCGAGGTGTCTTATGATAAACACCTGTTGTTGGGAGGGGCCCTGGAGTCTGTTCCGACTCATAGTGACTCTGTGTCCTGTGCGGTTCTCTCAATGGTTGCCATCCTTGAACCCCTTGCTGTAGGCACTGTGCCAATCCAGCTGGGCAAGAAAGTGTGGTAGTTACAGAATCTGGTGTCGATTTGAGAAGATGATGAGTGAAGGGGTGGGGTCTGGCCTGTCAATCAAGATATGACCAATGAGGCCTCTGTGTGGGCCTGGCCTTCTCCTGAGAATTCTGGGAACTCCAGTATTTCCTCCTTGGAGGTGGAAGATATTCTCTCTCTGCTCACTCCCTTGGAAACGCTCTACTGACAAGACACATGGCACTACACTGACAGACCCTGTACCCTGGGAACTGGAGAAACCAGGTGGAGACCCCTGCCAGCGCTGAGATGCTTACAACGCCACTGGATCCCAAGACTTTCTACCCACTGGCCTGTGATCGTCCTGCATTTGGCATCACTGCCTGTGTTCCGTGAGTCTGATGAGGACTTTATAGATTGGTAGCAGTCATATGGGCTAATATCAGACTTACGGGCTTGGACTGGACTGGGTTGGGATGGTTTCTTAATGTACAATTACCCTTTATAGCCCTTGACACAAGGGTTTGTAAAAAATAAATAAATAACAATTACCCTTTATATGAAACTCTCTCTTATACCCATATGAGTGTCTATGAATTTGTTTCTCTAGTCTACCCAGGCTCACACAGAGAGTATTCCTCTCTGCCATTACTTTACCAAGCATAATGTCCTTCCCCAAGGTCTGGGGTCCCCTAATAACATGCCCCCAAATGTGAGGTGAAGCCTCACCATCCTCATTTCATTTTTTTTTTAGATCATTTTATTGGGGGCTCTTACAACTCGTTACAATCAATTGTACCCAACATATTCGTACATATATTCCATCATTCTTTTCTAGACATTTACTTTCCATTGAGCCCTTGGGATCAGCTCTTTCCCCCCCTCCCCACCCCTCTCAACCTTGTGGCCCCTTGATAGATTGTTAATTACATCCTCACTTCTAAGAAGCACCCTGGCTATACTTTTTCCAAGATGGACACGTTTGTTCATCTGGAAGTATTTATTCTTCATCAGTATCATGATGGAAACGCAGCGAGTCTGCTTCTGTCAGGTGGGAACCAAGCGTGCCGGCAAGGGGTTGGGCGGGGAGGGTGGATGCGGTGCAGGGAGGACACTAGGCAGTGGCTAGCTTCGTCCCCACGTACACCTATATCCACCATGCCACACCTGCCACCAGTAAGCGGCTCGACTGGGGGGTGGGCGTGGGAAGGGGGCTCGAGGTAGAGCCCGATCTCTCGGCACAGGGCCTGGAAGGAGAGCACTCCCCAACCGCGTGGGCACGGATGTACGGAGGGATGTAAGAATGTCGGCATGCGAGGAACTGCACACTGCTCTGGAGCTCGGATCCAGGGAGCTCCGCGCAGTGAGGCCCGGACAGGTCGGGAAACCTTTGTCCCCCCTGCCTCGTGCTGCTGCAGGGTGGCTCCACCGCCGGAGTAATTCTCTTGTAGGAAGTGGGGCACCTGCCCGCTCTGCGTGCTTGTTGCCACGTGAGCACAGGGAGGGAAAGCGGGTTCCGGCCCTTGGAGTCGCCCCAGGATGCTCGGAAACGCGTCTTGGAGTTCACGAACTTCAGGTCCCGCCC